AAGACCACAACTTACTACTGTTTTCTGTTATGTTCTATGGAGCCAATCATCTTTCAACGATAAGTACCCATCAAGAGCCTCCCGATCTTGGCGAAAACCTGTGCAGTCTCTTGGCAATAATGGCGTTCGGTCAAGAACGACCGGAGAGACAATGGGGAAATCAAGGGGTATCACATGAAGATCGTACTTGTGCATTAATATTAGATATCGGCTATTACCACTAAAGAACTGGTTTGCTGAATATTACGGAGAAATAGTTCTGTGATCACAGTACTTTAGGTATTGGCGACTTGATTTTCACAAGTCAGTAGGTTCTGGGATGATGTCCGAAGAGTTTATGTGAAGTCGCAAGATCATCGAAAGCAGCTGAGGATTTTGTAGTTGGGTAGCCTTTCGTTCCACTTTAATCATTAACCCTTATGGCCAGGACATTCGAGTCAGTCCTTCATTTACAACCGGTTTTCATCGATGATAGCAGAACTATATCCCTTGAAGGGAATAATACGGGTGGTGCAATCGGTTTCAGGGGTAGGATGTGAGATCAGACTATCCTTCCTCTCACAATCAGTCGAATCCAACTTGAGTATGGATCGGATAAAGAGACCTCCATTCAGGAATCTAGTAAGAAGGATTCCAGGCGATAGGACAGGGAAAACAAGGACAAAGCCCTCATTACCAGCGACAAACAATAGGCCAGCAGTTTTTCAAATTTTAAGGCTTGCCTACAGATTCTTCCGATTGCCAACAGAAAAACTAGAAGCAGTCTCAAAACTTTTCTTGATGCCTCTGAGACGGTAAGTTATTTGGGTCAAAATGAAATAACTGGTAATGTTGTGACTGATCTTGGAAGAGCGATTCGAGCGACAACCCACGGGAAGAACTCAAACACACGAAGCGAACGGCCCGGGGAAGAAACGTGACGTGGTAGCTCTAGGCATCACACCTTTTTAAAATAAGTCCTATTTGTTCTTCCCTTTTTCTCCCTTTTGAAGCTTTCTTCACTTAGTGGTCATGTGTTGGCAATTCTTCGACGGAATGGTGACACATCCGGGAGGGGTCTTGAAGGCGCAACCAAAGATGGGATGCTATATTTTTAGGAAAAAATATGGATTGAAAATGTACATGCTGAATAATACCCCACAGAAAAGGTAAATAAAGGAAATTCGAAGGATTCGATCCTTTCCAAGCCTTCTCGTTTTCAGCACTGTAAGGGAACATGATGAAGGAGAAGGGCGTTGTTGCTAAGCCAAGCAACTTGGCAATCCTTTGAGGGAGTGGTCCCACATTGCATCACAATCCGACGGCTTTGACACGACTGTCGAGTGGAATCATTAACGGGAACGGGCGTTTTAAACAAGTTTAGGGCCCTTCTTGCTCTCTCACTCTAGACCGCTTTTCCACATGACAGCACCCATACTCGTTTTGCCTACCGAAACGTCCCAATTGGAGCGCTACAAAACCAATGTCGGCTGAGCAACAAAATTTTTTCAACAATATGGGGAAAGTGTCGTATGGAGTGGGAAACGTAGCCTTCTCAGGTTATAGTGCACCAACTCTCATTTATGAGGATAGGTGCTGGGGCAATGAACATTTTATTCCGAGCCATTGCTTCCTCTAACAGACTGCTGTCTCAGACTAGAACAATTAGATTGGGTCGCTGGGGTCAAAACAGTGATGGAGTCACACTTTTGTAGCAACGGGTTCACTGTATGTTTCTGCTTTGGCTCCACGGTGTCCCAAAATTATGGTCGCCATAAGTCAAGCTTTTATGACAATAATAATTTATTACGCTAACTTCATTCATTGCTAACTTGTTGCACAGATAAGCTTCCAGGAAATCTGCATGATTACCGGGGTAGAAATTCCAATATCTTCAAGATGGCAATGACTCTTTGGATGCAACCAGCAGTAATTCCCGTGCAAAATGCGTGAGGACATCGTGAAACTACTCAGAAATTAAGGTAATAAAACAATAGAAAGACCAAGATCAATCCGAGACAAATCCTGTTTGGGAAGAGAAGCCATTGTTTCCAATACGGGACTAGAAATAGTTATTTTCAATTCCGGGTGATTGATTAGGATGGCAACGGACCTGAGCGTATCGTAGTCGTCGATTGGACAAGTTGTTTAGCAAAAGCTTCATAGCCACTACATCCCTCCATCGATTTCTCTGACGAAAAAATTTTCATGACAGGGCCAATTTTCAACCATCAAAACGGTCGCATTCTGGGTAGAACGTTGAAAGAGCTACTAACCACAAAAAATTGTTTTACGAACAAAAAAGTAGTGATTGGAAGGAAGTCACAGGCAATGGTTAGCCGTCATTGGTTTTTGTCGGTGTCGGCATCATTCTAATAGCTAAACTGAAGCCTGAACTCGATTCCCCATCCTGAAACAGTCCATGATAGTTCTCATCGGGGGAAGATGGTCCTTCAAATCACAGAGCCAGCCTCGTGGAAGATTGGGCAGATGCAAAGAGCCCGATTTCATTTGCAACAGAATAGCCAACCTGCCATCCGGCAGATCATGACCCATATGACTTCTCCATTTGGTCCCTGATTGAAAGGGGAACTTGTCGAGTCCGCCATTCTAGGGTGGAGTCCTTGAAAACGGGATTGAAAAACGGGTGGGAAGGAACGGAGGACGGACAAATCCACGCCGCGAGGGGTTCGATAACGAACTTTGAGCTTGTACCGGTGCAAACGGTGGGCTGAAATTTTATTGTATTTTGTTGTTGCCCTTAATGTGAGCAAAGAGCAAGCAGAGTAATGTAGATTCCATTGTCATTCTCAGCCCATTAGCTTAGAAGACCTTGCAACGAATAAGCGCCCATAATCAAGGGCATGCATAATGACAAAAATGTTCGGCTGATTCCATAACGCTTTTCTCTTCTTCCTAAGGCTCTCGCTGATCATATTTATCAGATATCATAAAGAAGCAAGATCGTAGTTGTAAGCAAACAGAGTTCAAGTGTTGGGCAATTTGCTTAGAACCTAATAAGAGAACCGCCCGCATCCTTACAGAAATGAGGATTCTGTATGGATTCTTTTTCCTACGGCTGTCCTTTTTCTGTGAGTGGTAACTTCTGCTAAACGTAAACTGTCTTAAAAGTAATACGTACTAGTTACATAACCGTAGCATGAAGCAGTAGTGGGATTACGATAAGAATTTGAGTCAATATCCAATCCCCAATATAGTCGCGTCATCCAACCGACCATAAGAGTCAGAATGAAGGAGATTCTGTACGACAATCACGCAGTAGCACTGTAATCCGGCTATGGGTTCGAGCTTAAGCGAGTGCTCGTGATGTAATTTTACCCCCCGGGCTGATGTAGTGCTAACCCCTGATTACCGCACTATCCAACCCTTTCCCTTTCCAAAGTCCCCTTTTTCTGGGTCGTACATATGACAAATGAGGATCTGTGTATTCAATAAAAGATAGTGCCGTGAAAGGTAACACTTTATCTGAGAAGGCACACACCGCATTTTATTTGACGGTAAGGTTGTTGTAGGAGCCGAGTGCCTGCACTGAATTCTCGAACCTCTACAAATTGGCGCTACCATGAGTGCTATTATCGTTTCAAGTTCTGCTGTTGTTTCAGTATTTTACAATAAACAGTAACCATACAGTGTATGGTTGTTAGTAATAGTTTACCATGTTGGGAGAAAGGATAGACTTGGGTCGGCGATCAATCCCGTTTGAGGGATGCGCCCACGCATTCGACTCCCATTCAGAATCGCAGTGGCGTATTGAATGTGTATGTGGCCTATACAATGAATTGCGATGTCCTACTGATGTACAAGTCAGTGCTTTTATCCTCCCAGACGAGTCTGTCCGGTACCAATTAACCAACCTCCATGTAATGGAAGGTTTGATTGGTCTAGGCAGATATCAATCCGGGATTTGAACCCCTGACCATGCGTGTGTGAAGTGCTCCATTTGCCACTACACCACCTTAAAGAGTTTACCATGTTATTCTATAGAAATACCGGTAGCTATAATGATATTCTTGTTGTTACTGTTATAAGAAATACTACACAGAGTTTACAATCCCTTACACTTTGCATTTTAACATCAGCCTATCCATCACAACTCGTAAATAAATAAGCAAATAGGGGTATTTTATATTTAAAGTTACATTTTTGTATTCATTGCGATTGCTATATGCGAGGGAACCCTTCTTGAAATTGACCGCCACTTTTGAGAGTAAAATTCTATTTGCCCAGTGGTCCTAAATGAAATCATTTCGATCTTGAAACAAGTTTGCCATAAAAACGGTATTCCACTGAAGTGCGAAGGAAATTGCGGAGCGACCAGCCGATGAATGCCGTTTCCGTCAATGTGACCGAATTTCATTAATAACGCCTGCATGTGACTCAAACTCGATGCAAGCTGCAAGCAATCGATAGACACTGAAATGGAGACTAAGTTGATTACCATGAAAACAGAGCTGATTACCCTCAATCATAGAATCAGAGAATCACTCATAGAATCACTACATTTTTCACGCTGCTTAAATGAGCCAGTCATTTTCATTTACCATAAAACCGTCCTCAGCACAAGCTGCTAAAAACCAGACGTTTAGAAATGCGTTTTATTACACAGTAAACATCACGATTAGTTCTGATCTTAAATAAAATTGGACAAATTCATTAATACCGTTGCATTAACTTGAACAAGATGGCAAGATTAACAATTAAGCGGCTTTCCATGCATTAAGAGCAGCTTTAGGCGCTTTACCCTGAAAATTCATTAGTGAAAGAATTATTACAACAATTTCGAATTGAGTAGTCACCCTACCTGAACATCACCCCTTCCATTCTTGGTTACTTCTGTGCCATCTGATTTTATGATGATGAGAGCAGGAATTCCACTAACAGAGTACTTCGTAGCAAGTTCTCTGAAATGACCAGCGCAGTAGTTACAAGAAACCTGTTCAGGATACAATTTTCATTGACATATGAGTAGGATGGAGAACGGGGGCGATGCTTTTGGAGAGCTAGAAACTGAAAAAATGAAACGACCAAAAATTGGCACTTCATTACCTAACTTTTTCACTGACTTTTTTCTTATCAATTCATAAATACGAATGAAACGTAAACATAGAATTTAGATAGATTTTGGTGAACAAATTATCGAAGAAAAAGGCCAAACGGTCACAAAAAATCGAAATCCTAGAGAACAAGCCTCCTGTCACTTGGCCCTTTCAAATTCTGCTCTGAGAAAAGCGGAACTTTGGTGGGAAAATGATGGGATGTGCGTGTGAAGTCATAAAATTTGTCAAATTTACATTCTTTCTCACATAAACTTGAATATTAATGCATTAAAATGTAACAATTGCAAATTCCACATAAAACTGCACTAAACCATCAACTGCATCCTCAAACTCAATCTGAATCAGCAAATGTACTGCCTATCAAGTATTGCAAGGAAGCGGGGCGCTAAAACCGTCCAGATATGCTCTTTTGGACCAAGTAAGAAAAAAATGAAAGTGAACCAGCCTAACAGCAACGGTAAAGTGATACTCACTGAATTTTGGGAGATCCGAAAGGAAGGTGGTACCAGTCTCCATGAGCTTCTTCCAAATACTTTTTCAGATCAGCTTCGCTCCTATCGAAAGACACAAATACGATTTCAAATTCTCCACTATCTACCAGGTCACCGTGGAAGTCCTGAAGTGCATAAGTAAGCATAACAACTATGAACCAAATTTGTTAGTTGACATGAAGAAGAATTCTCCAGCATTAACACAGCATGGTCATGTTTTACAAACCAACTATTTTGTAACGAACATACCTTCAACACAGGAGTAAACTGACGGCATGGTGGACACCAATGAGCTGAGAAGTACAGTCCTACGACTTTATCCTGAAAGTCACACGGTTAACCCAAATTAGGGCCACAGAAACTGTGTATGAACTATAAGCCTGAGAAACTTTTTGATAAAATGAAAACCAAAGTTGGAACTAATCGAAGAAGCTTTGAAATGTAATCCCCAACCTTTAGCACATCCTCGGCATTCGCAGTACTACCGTCTTTCTTCGCCAACTTCACTCCCTTCAGTAATTCAGCCATTGGAACTGAAAAACAGAAATAATGTAAGATTAATAAATGCCACAAAGCTTTTACTGTGCAATAGTTCTAAGACGCAAAAGAAAAGAAAAGAATATTCTTGAACCAAAGTGAAAGGAACAAAAAGTTTTGATGATTTGGAAAGCAAGAGCGAAGACAATTTACAAGCTCGAGATCAAAAAAACTGCAGCGATAAGCCTCCACAAGTAAAAATTTGACTCTAGAACAAAGCAGTAGCAAAGCATATCGAGTACGCCCAACAGGGATCCTTTCCACCCTTCCTCAAGAGCTCTTCCCAATAACTGGTTCTGAAACCTATCCAAAGGTAATTATTGGTGCAAAGCTAGAGAATACAAAGGAATTGTCAGAACTGTTTCACGTTTAATAGATCGGCAAACTTCGCGATTTGCACTAAAGGAGCTCACTAGCCAGCAAGTATGGCACAGCGCTATACAGATATTGGTATGTCCCAAGAAAAGATGACGACGTGTCTCAGTTTGAGAGCAATGTGTTCTGCCACTGTTTACCCCCAGTGTAACACAAAGGAAACTATCAAATAAATAAACATTAAATTTTATGCAACGTAAAAATAACGACGACGGTGATACTCAACAGCAAAAAGGAGTTAGTCATAGCTATTGAAGGGCTGCTGCTATCGATTAAGGTGGGACTTTTTCCTAATTAAAGACGACCACTTGCTTCTTCTAGCGCAATCCACTCCGCAATACAATGGAAGCTAATGCCAGTAAGGATAGAAACCGCTGCGGAAGGAAAAATAGTCGCAACGATTTTCGTTAGAATCAGTGGTTGTTTGTCATAACGCAAAGCCAGGTGAAAAAGTTATGAAGAATGACTCATATGGTCAATTAATAGGAAAAAGACAAATGAATCATCACGCAGAGTACATTAGAAAAATCTAGTACCCCGATCAACCGTACAAAGAAGGGAGGGACCAAATCCCCACGCTAAGTACTGCAATGATACAAAGGAGTTCATAGTACCGACATAGACACAGTAACTACGACAGTACCTTTCGAAGTTGTCCAGATCCGAGATTGCGTTGTCCTTTAAAATCGGCTTTAAAAACTATTAGAAACCAAAATAAATGAAGCAGTTGAAGTAATGTTTGGAATTGCGTACTACTGGTAAGATTAATAACAGAGTTCGAAAGCTTCGATTAGTTCACCTCCATCAAGTACTTCCCTCAGACATTTTCTTGTAGTACCGAAATTCCAGTTTGTAATCAAGTCCCCACCGTAACCTTGAAATAACACGTAATGCACCAGGAGAGCTACAGACAAGGCAGCCTGTTTTACGACATGGCGTCATTTTAGGCCACAGTTAACGGCAGTTGGGGCTTTCAACATTTTTTTTACTGCTTGTTCTGTGAAACATGGGATGAGCATTGTTCATGACTTATAGCCATGAGAATGACTAACACTTGGGTATTGTCAGCATGACACGTCATACGAAGGAAGACAAAAAGCTTGCTCGGGTACAGCACACAACAATGAATACCTGTATAACCACCAAAACCATAAGACCATCTGATGAGAGGGAAACACTGTATTGCATCAACACCACTGAACACTAGAGCTGGATACGCGCGTGAAGCCAGTGGGCGCAGCTGATTTCATGAAAACATTATTGTTGATGGGATCTCCCAAAGGTCATGCACGGAGGAAATTCTTCCATTGCCTTTCACATGCAAGCATTGCTATGAATTTGGACAAATACAAGAAATATTCATTTCTAGGTCGTTTTCGCGTAACGGTCCAGTGAAACGGTCGCCTTTTTGATGTTATCCTCAACCAAAAAATGTCACGGCAATTTTGAATGGCAATGTCCAAGACGATCGGCATTTACACTAGAATGTGTTCTTGCCCATAATGAGGTAAGCTGTCTAATATTTCTTGCGTCCTTTACATTTGATTTCACGCTAAAGGTTACGGTGAAAACTTGTCGTGGACTGAAAATAGCTGCACGTTTACTTTATGAGATTAGTCGCATTTTCAAGTGAATTGCCAAGAATGAGGAGTTTTGAAAATTAAGGAAGGGGGGGGGGTTTATGTGTTCTGCGAAACAACGGATAGACGCTGATTGAGTATTCGAATGGGCAAAAAAAACAAACTTCAAGCAAGGTAATAGACATCTCAACCCTGGCTAGAACTAGAAGGAGTTTCAGGGTGAATTTCACCTTGACTGTATACGAAAATTTGATACGAAGTGATATTGAATAGTAGGCTACTCTACCAGGAAGAGGACAAAAAAATGACGGCGACGCATTCCATTTCCACAGGGTTCAGTGGAGAGCCTAGTGCAACATGAAGCAAAACCACGTTCCTCTAAGCTGTAGAGCTGGTTCAGCCAACACCTCTACGACCTTCCTTTGCGATACGAAGTGATCGCACACAAAGACAACCAGTATATTCTGTTAACTGATGTTGTGGCAACAAACTCCAACGAACAGGTCCTGCTGCATTTAAAAGTCGTCGCAATGGTTGCAACTAAAGTAGGTATCAGAAAAGTTAAGTAAACAGCCTCGTGAGGTTCCCAGTCAATCGTTCGTTACTGGTACGACTGAACAATGACTAGAAAATTTAGGAAAGATGATTACATTGGAAGCTAGTTTTATGAAACATCTCCCACTAAATTACCTCGCCAGCAGGTTCGAAATCGCGGTGACCATGCTCCAAACTGAGATCTCAGCTACGGTAAAAAGACAAAAAGACAATTTAACTCGTCATACACATCTTAAGTTGATGGCTAGGATTTTATGAAGTTAACAGAAAATGGCCGGTACTGGTAACTAGCAATTCTGCGAAAAAGAAATGAAGAAAGGAAAAATCCCGACGACATTGTTAGAATTGAGCCACACGCAAATGTCTACTAGTGGAATCAATTTGGCACAATTCCAGTGGTAGGTGGAGCTTATTAGAGGTCTTCAACATGCTCCGCCTACCATTGGAACTTTGCCAGAGTCATCCCCAAACTAAACATTGCCCTCCGACGCGTTTGATGACAAAACAGCGATCGATGGGCAGTTTACTGCAGCAAAATGGCCTTTGAACGAAATGCTATTGCAGCAGATTTGTCGCCCTAATTCTNTCAGTTGTTCGTTACTGGTACGACTGAACAATAAATAGACAATTTAGGAAAGCTATTTTACGAAAGCATCTCCCACTAAATTACCCAGCAGGTTCGAGATCGCCGGTGACTGTGCTCCAAACTGAGTTCTCAGCTACAGTAAAAAGACAAAAAGACAAGTTTAACTCGTCATACACAACTTAAGTTGATGGCTAGGATTTTATGAAGTTGCCAGCAAATGGTCGGTACTGGTAACTAGCAATTCTGTGAAAAAGAAATGAAGGGAGGAAAAATCCCGACGACATTGTTAGAAGTGAGCCAATCGCAAATGATGTCTACTAGTGGAATCAATTTGGCACAATTCCAATGGTAGGTGGAGCTTACTAGAGGTTTCAACTTGCTCCGCCTACCATTGGAACTTTGCCAGAGTCATCCCCAAACTAAACATTGCCCTCCGACCGCGTTTGATGACAAAACAGCGATCGATGGGCAGTTTACTGCAGCAAAATGGCCTTTGAACGAAATGCTATTGCAGCAGATTTGTCGCCCTAATTCTATTACCAACATACTTTTTACTTTCGTAAGAATCCATATTGGTAATACTGTAGAATAGGTGGGAAGTTGACGTCATCCAATTCCTTGAATTGGAAACATATTAAGCTTCTACCCCTCACTTACGACTGAGAATGCCGATCGATTTGCATAATTGTGATCAAAAATGGAAATTGCACTCGATAAGTGCCAAGAAGTCCGAAAATGACTGGTCGAACTTAAAGATTTGTATATGTAGGGCTGATCACGACGCGGCTGCGTTGCGATTCTTACCTCGAGCCATAGTAATGGGTGTTTTCTCGAAGAACAGTAAAGTAAGACTGTATCAACACTATGATCAATGGCCATAAGTCATCCTTAACCATTCCGCGGATCCCAATATGATTTCAAAAACCGATAACTAAGAGTTATCGCATGGAAACAGTGTGAGGGTCGAAGTTCTTACCGTAAAACCAAGCGTAAGATAAATTGTTTTGACTTAATGTTTTGTTAACTGCTGTTGTATCGCCGCGATACACGTTGCGAAAGTCTCACAATTGATGCCGATTTGTGGGCAAAACTTTGGCCTCGGGCGGGACTGGAACTCGTACTTGTGCTTTTAATATAACCGAGAAATAATCATTGAGAAACGCTGTATTGTGGAATGAGATGTATAGACCGCGGCTAATCTGCGACTTCCACGTCTTATTTTACGACTGCTTTAATGAGAAGCCGTAGCGCTGATTATGTTAGGATTAGTTTTCCGTTCCTGTTAGAAAAACAGCGAGTTGTTTGGGGTAAGTTTTCGCAGTATTCCCATTCTCTCGATGGTCGAGGTAATAGAACTATTGTCTTCAACGCTTTTCTACTGGAGAGAACATGGACAAACACGAAATTGATAAGCACGGGCAGCTGCAATTGCAGGCCAGCGGTCATGATTCCCGTTGTGATACAACTAAGTATCGTGGGCTTCGTCTATGTTTACACAGTGATCGATATTTACTTATTAAACCGTAGGAAATCTGGAACAGAAACGGAACTATTTTGAAGAAGGGAAAGGGGATTCGGGAAAGAAAAGCGAGTGGTGGTAGGGCAATGAAACGACGTGTTGCCAAGTAACAAATCGTCGTCGTGGGCGAATGAAGGTGGTCTTTCGAAAACCACTTTCTTCCATCCAAGTCGATGAAATCGCTGTGGCAACGACGCGTGCCTTCCATAAATATAAGCTCTAAGGAAAAGTCTCGACTACCTTAGAAATGATTCTCGACATTGCGGATAGGAAAAAGGTAAGAGCTCAGTCGAGGTCAGCTTAGTCGGAATGCGCCATGCATACAACTCTCGCCAGTGATAGCGCGTTTAGCCCCTGGCCTTGTATAGATGTAAGC